GCGCGTTGCCAGGCAGGTCCCAGGGGGCGCTGAGATCGTGGACAACTCCGACGATGATGAGATGAGGTAAGTATATAATCTGGAAGGGTGCTCCATGCGTTTCGATTCCCCGCGCGAGCTTATTATCCATCAAGTTCACTCTCGGGCCCCAGGCCACGGGTGGCCCCCTATATTAAGCACTGTGGCCCTGGACAACCAGTGCCAAAATGTCGGGCCGTATTCCAGCACGTAGAGCATACTATTAGACAGCACCGGCGTTCCTGGCCCCGGGCGCGGCGCATCCCTGAGCTAACGAGGCGTCGGTGCGAGCGGGGGCCCACCGAGGTGAGGTTGCGCCCTTTCTCCCAGGTCTCGTCTCATCACCAGTGCCAGGCCCCCCTCGAGACGATGGCATTATTTCGAGCTCGCCCGGCGCCCCGCGCCCCTCCGCCACCATTTAGCTCATGGGTCGCGCCGCCAGTTGCTGCCGCCGCGCTTGGTCGCGCGGGGGCGGCTTCGATCGGGTGCACTTCTTCGACTCCGAGAGCTTCGGCGACCTCGCGGGCCCCCGCGGACGCCGCCGACGCGCGCCAGGGCCCGCGCGCGGCCAGCTGGCGGCTGCTCGCCCACCCGCCTCCGAGCGCTGCACACCTCTCGGCGCGGCTTCGCCCCAGGGGGGCCCCTGGGACAGAGGGGGGCTCTAGATAGAGCGACCCCATTCGGCATCCTCGGAGGCGGCGCCTGGCCGCGCTGTCTCGACGCGCGCGAGTTCGACGCCTGCCCATCCTGCTGAGCCTGACGCAGCTGCGAACCCAGACCCCTCGTCGCCGCAGGATGCCAGCGGAAGGGGGGGCAGCGCGGCGCCCCCCTTCAGCGTCGGCGGCGTCTGGGAACGGTGGCTCCGCAAGCAACGAAAGCGGCAGGCCGCCAGCGGCCAGGCAGAGGGCGGGGGGCGGCAGCGTTCGCCCCGCCCAGAGGGGCGAGGACGCGGCGATGGCGGGCGAGGGCCAGGGCGAGCCGCGCCGCCGCCGCCGAGGCGGCGGCGGTCGCCGCCGCCGCGGCAAGCACGCGGACAAGACTTGGGGCTCCAAGGACAAACCTCGCGAACATGCTGTTGACAATGGCAAAGCTGATACTCCAAACATCGCATCGGACACGCATGACGACGGCCGCGACCATAGTCGCGATCATCTAGCCGACGGCGCACAAGGTGATAGTGGGGATCGACGACGGGGTTGGGGCCTTTCGTAACCAGGTGGAGACGCTGCGCAGCTCCGGCGACGCGGCGGCGGCCCCCCATAATCTCGGCGCTCCGGCGGCAGGTCTCGCGGTCTATTTCCTGGAAGCGCTCGCGCAGACGGGCGTCGGAAGCCTGGCTAGAGGGAACATCGCGCAGTGCTTGGCGAGGGCCAACGGCGGCGAGGGCGCGGAGCAGACAGCGACGAAAAAGATGCTAGAGCAGTCCGCGGCGCTCATCCGCCTGGAGAAGCGATGCGAGGCCGACGAAACCAAGCTCATCATCGCTATGCGCGGATGGGAGCTCAGAGACATCGTTCTTCAAGCAGTTCGCGCGGAGGGAGCAGGAGTCCTCCACGCAGGAGTGGCGCCGCCAGGGTGGTTGGAGGAGGAGCTGTCGTGCTGGGTCGACGCGTTGTCGGAGTGAGCTCCCTTCGCCGCCCCGTCCACTCTGTGCGCTCGAGCTCCCCGCCTCTCTGTTCACCCCCCGTCCTGCCTGCCCGCGGGGCCCGCAGTTCGCCCCCCTCGCCGCGCCCCCCACCTCCGCAGGATGCGCCTGCCCCCAGCGCATCCCCCATAGTAGATGCGTATGACGCAGAAGAAGCAGAAGCAGCCTACTTTCTGGGTGCCGATTAGAATGATCTTGCCCTCCCGAGTATAGCAAGTATGAGTCTCCGCTCTGGCCGCCTGGAGCCGCTCGAGCGCTTGGAGCACGATGCGCACAGCGAGATTTTGGCCTCGCCCTAGCCGCAGGTTCCCGCACGAATGGCAAAGTCGATAGCAGCACATCATTACAGCTCTGAAGTGCCCACTGTTCCGACCCAGATTCGACGCCATGCCGCGCGCCACCACCGTGCACCCATAGCCTCAACGTGGACGTAGAAAAAAAAGTCGTCGTTGTCGTCGACGTCCTCCTCCGCCGTTCTCGCTGGTCCTTGGGGGGTGCGGGCCAGGGTCGCCAGCTATTTGTCTCCCACCGTCTTGTTGTCTTTGCCCCCTGCGCAGCCTCTAGGTGCCTGTTTGCTTGTCAACATGGACCCATTCGAATAGCTGCAAATCCCACGCGGGTAGCCCTGGTGCCCCCGTTATGCGCTTCCGGGGAGGACCACCCCAAGTTTTTGACAACGCTGGCGGGGTGGTAAACTGCGCCCCCAGACAGATCTCGGAACATGTTGGAACGCTGGGCGTATCCCCACCTGCCCAGCCAACAACGATGCCTTCGAGAGCTGAGGCGATCCGAGAAGTGGAGCTGAACGGCTCCAAGGGCGACGGGGGTTACCCACCAGCGTCCCCATAAACATCTTGGAAATCTGGGGGCGCTCGGTGACCATATGTTCACGCCTCGCGTATCTCTTCCAGCTCATCCATCAATGGCACTTGGAGAATTATTGACGACTGAAACGCAGACGAACGGCTCCCAGGGCGAAGAGGGTGCCAAGAAACGTCCTTTGAAACATCGGAGAAAGTTTGGGGACGCTAGATGACCAAATGCTCACGCCTCGCGCATCCCCACCAGCCCACCCAGGAACGATGCCTTCGAGAGTTGCGGTGATAAGAGAAACGAGCACGAACGGCTCCAAGGGCGATGGGGGTTCCAAGGAGCGTCCATTTGAAAAGTCCTGGACAATCTGGGGGCGCTAAGTGTCAGGCTCGCCCGTGTAGGCCCCGCACTTTAATGATCCGCCCTCCCGACCCGACCCGCCCGCCAGGGTCCGCCCGCACGACCCGAGCCGCCCGTCGGGGTCCGCCCGCCTGGCCCGACTCGCCCGTTAGGTTTCACGCGTGGTCGCTCGTGCACGCCCCGCACGTTAATGTCTCGCCCGCCCGACTCGACCCGCCCGCCAGGGTCCGTCGGCCCGACCCGACCCGCCCGTTAGGATCCGCCCGCCCGACCTTACCCGCCCGTTCGAGTTCACGCGCGCTCGCTCGTGTACGCCCCGCACTTTAATGTCCCGCCCACCCGACCCGACCCGCCCGCCAGGGTCCGTCCGCCCGGCCCGACCCGCCCGTTAGAGTTCCCGCGTGTTGGGGTCCGCCCGCCCGGCCCGACCCGCCCGCTAGGGTTCGCGCGCGGTCGCTCGCATGCCCCGCGCTCGACCCGCCCGCCCGCCCGACCCGACCCGCCCGCCAGGGTCCGCCCGCCCGACCCGACCCGCCCGTTGGGATCCGCCCGCCCGGCCCGACCCGCCCGCTAGGGTCAGCCTGCCCGACCCGACCCGCCCGTTAGGGTTCACGCGTGTTCGATCGTGTGTGCCCCGCACAATGTCCCGTCCGCCCGACCCGACCCGCCCGTCGGGGTCCGCCCGCCCGGCCCACTTCGCCCGTTAGGCTTCACGCGTGTTCGCTCGTGTCCGCCCCGCAGTTTAATGTCCCGCCCGCCCGACGGCCCGACCCGCCCGCGAGGGTCCGCCTGACCCGACCCGAGCCGCCCGTTAGGGTCCGCCCGGCCGACCCGACTCGCCAGTTTGGGTTCACGCGTGTTCGCTCGCGCACGCCCCACACCTCAATGTTTCGCCCGCCCGACCCGACCCGCCCGCTAAGGTCCGCCCGCCCAACCCGACCCGCCAGTTAGGGTCCGCCCGCCCGACCCGACTCGACCGTCAGTGTTCACGCGCGCTCGCTCGTGTATGCCCCACACTTTGATTGTACCGCCCGCCCGACCCGACCCGCTCGTCAGGGTCCGCCCGCTTGACCCGACCCGCCCTTTAGGGTTCTCCCTAGGCCGACTTTTGGTCACCCCCCAGGTCATTCCCCAAGGCCTACCCTAGGTGTACCCCTCGGCCCTTCTCCTAGGCCTACCCCAGGCCCTTCCCCTAGGCCTACCCCTAGGCCTACCCCTAGGCCTACCCTACGCCTACGCCCTACGCGTACGTCAAACTTGTCCGCACGATCTGGGGTAGGTCCTACCCAAGGCTACCCTCCCCTAGGGCCGTGGGTAGGCCCTACCCTAGGGTACCCTAGGGCCTTGGGTATGCCCTAGGGTAGCCTTCCACCCCCCGGGTTCTATACCAAGTGACCGCATGTTCACGCCTTGCGTATCCCCACCAGTCCATCCAGAAACGATGCCTTCGAGAGTTGGGGTGGTCAGAGAAACGCACACGAGAGGCTCCAATGGGCGGTTGTCCTCGACGCCGCCGTCGCCGTTCTCTTCGTTGCCGTCGACGCCGCCGTCGTCGCCGCTAGTCGCCGCCGCTGGCGTCAACGTCGCCGCCGTCTTCATCGTCGTCGTCGCCGTCGCCGTCGTCGTCGGTTCTTGTTCAGGCTCCAGGTTCGGAGTTCCAGGAGTTTCTTCTCCGTTCTCGGCTCTGGAGGCTGTCTTCGGGCAAAAGAGCGTTCGAACCGAATCCGAGATGCACAATCACCCTACAGAAAAGACCCCCGTCGTCGTCGACACCGTCGCCCGCGCCGGCCAGCCCCTGCAAGCGATGCAGCAGCTGCTGGCGGTGAGGTGCCGGACGGGTGCTCGCGAAGGCTATCAACATGGCGGCCTGGTGACCAGGCGGTCATTTCATCGCCATGTTGATAACCTTTCGGAAGCACGCCCCCCGTGCCACCAAGAGCTGCTTCAGAACGATTGCGTGGACGGAGTCCACGGGTCAGCCCTAGTCAGCTACAGCGCTGGGATCAGCGCGTGCGAGAAGGGCGAGCAGTGGCAGCGGGCACTGGCGCTGCTCAGCCAGGTGCGGGAGGCGAAGCTGGAGCCCAACGTCGTTAGCTACAACTCGGGGATCAGCGCGTGCGAGAAGGGCGAGGAGTGGCAGCGGGCACTGGCGCTGCTCGGCGAAATGCTGGAGGCGAAGCTGGAACCCACCGTCATCAGCTACAGCGCTGGGATCAGCGCGTGCGAGAAATGCGATAAGTGGCAGCGGGCCCTCTCGCTGCTCAGCGATATGTGGGAGGGAACGGTGGAACCCACCGTCATCAGCTACAACGCCGGCATCATCGCGTGCGACAAAAGTATGCAGTGGCAGATGGCCGTGTCGCTGCTCAGTCATATGTGGGAGGCGAAGTTGGTGCCCGGGGTCACCAGCTACAGCACGGTTGTCAGCGCGTGTGAGAAAGTCAGTTGTGCCAATTGTTTTGGCGTCGGCGGGTTCGGGCTCCTCCCTAGAGCAAGCTGGGGTCGCTCCTGAGGGTCGACCAGGCCTCCGCCTCCAGCGCAGCATGTGCGTTTCCTGCGGGCTCCACGGGCCAATCTACTCGTGACCTCGTACGTGTTCAGTTTGCACAAGCGGAGCGGGCAGAGCAATGACAGCGTGCCCTGGCGCGGCTCAGCGAGATTTGGCAAGCGAAGGTGGGTTCCATTATCATCGTCGGCTGCAGCGGCGGGACCAGCGCGCGCTGGAAGGTTGATCAGTGGCAGCAGCCCCCGTTGCTTACTGCTCAGCGAGATGCGGAAGCCGAAATCGGAGCCCAACGCGGGCGAGACTAGCAAGCAGTGGCAGCGGGTCATGCATGTTGCTCAGCGAGATGTGGGAGCAACAAAGAGCCCGAAGCCAGCCTCAAAATGTCCCACTGCGGTCACAAGACATGCCAGGAGGCCTCCCAAGACGGCCCAAGAGGACCCCGATGACTGCCCCACGACGCCCAAATTTTAGATTTTCAATAGTTTGTATGATGGATTTTCATGTCCTCTTCATTTCGCCTTGAGAACGGGTCCAGACGGCTCCCAGCGTCGTCTAGATCGCCCCATCACTGCCCATCAGGCTCCCAAGAGAGCCCTTACCTGAGACGGCCCATCACTGCTCATCAGGCCCCCATGTGCCCTCCACGACTGCCCTGAGAGAGTCCCCACTGAGCCCTTGAGAGCCCCAAGGACGCCCCAGGAAGGCTCCAAGGTGAATCCCAAACACATGGCACGCGTGCCATGGCTCTTGTACCCAAAGGAGTGGGGGGGCGGAGGAGGAGGAGGAGGAGGAGGAGGAGGAGGAGGAGGAGGAGGAGGGCGGAGGAGGAGGAGGAGGAGGAGGAGGAGGTGGAGGAGGAGGAGGAGGAGGTGCTCCCAGATGGCCTCCAAGATCGCTCAGAGAGCTCAAGCCGGTTGAAGTTGGCCCCAGAAAGTGCTTTCGGAGCACCTTTTGGACCCCTTCCCCCAGAATCCCAAATCCTTCGAAAGCCTAGGGAAATTGAACAAGTTGTTCCTCGACACTTTTTCGCTTCCGATGGGTTTTGGAAGCCTCCAGGCTGGGCTGGCTGTGGAGGAAGGCGGTGCTGGTGCCGTGCGCGCGTGCCGAAAAGAAAGTGGTCGGGGCTGAGGGGGCGCGCCGGCTGGGGGGCGAGGGGGAGTTGGGCTGGCTGGGGGGGAGGGGTGGCGCGGCGCCAGTGCCCTGCGCGCGTGCCGAAATCAAGTGGCGAAGGGGGCTGGTGGGAGGGGGAGGTGGGCTGGCCGGGTGGGATGCGGGCGGTGCCGGTGCCGTGAGTGCGTGCCGGAACAATTGGTCGTGGCGGAGTTGACGCGCGGGATGGGTGGGGGGCGAGGGAGAGCTGGGTTGGCTGGGGGGGAGGCGCGGCGCCAGTGCTGTGCGTGCGTGCCGACAGAAAGTGGTCGGGGCGGAGGGGACGTGCTGGCTGGTGGGCGAGGGTGAGCTGGGTTGGTTGGGTGAGAGGGGTGGCTCGGTGCCGGTGCCGTGCGTGCGTGCCGAAGGAAGGTGGTCGGGGCGGAGGGGGTGCGCTGGCTGGTGGGCAAGGGAGAGCTGGGCTGGCTGGGGGGAGGGGGTGACGCGGCGCAGGTGCTGTGCGAGAGTGCCAAACGAAAGTGGTCGGCTAGACACCCTGTGCAAGAGAATCAGCTTCCCTGGCTATCCTTCAGAAGGGGCTCTGGGGGACAGCCTGGGAACGGCCCCAGAGGCGCCCAAAATATACCGCAAGAGGCCTTCGAGAGGCCCCAGATAGGCTCCCAGGAGGACCCAGGATGCCACCGACACGGCCAAAGAGACGCCCCGAATGTCCCAAGAGTGGCCCCTGAGGCCCCAGGCAGGCCCCCAGGAGGCCCCGAGTGTGGAGGAGGCGATGCAGGGCCACGTGTGGAGCCGTGCGCCCCAGCAAGAACGTCCAGGCGGGGTAATTGCTCGTGCCCGGTCGTGGTGGAGAACCAGGGCGCCCCGCTCACAGCCCGACGTGACGCGGCTCAGGAACGGCCCCGCCAACCCCCAGCGGACCAGCGCTCTCCCGTGGCAGCCTCCTCGCACGCGCGCAGCCGGAGGCGGGCCTCCCGAGCGGGGAGGTCGTCACGGGAGCGCCCGCCACGCAGGGGGTCGGTTGGGCCGCGCCCGAGGCAAACGGAGCGCACCTCTGCGCCGCCCGGATCGCTCGCTCCCTTCTGCCACCTGTTCGTGCCGTTGCTCCCCTCCGCCGTCTGCCCCGTCTCGCGCCACCTGAGAGCGAGGTTCTCGGCTTTCTCCACCGAGCAGCCGGGAGGGGCGCGCAGACTCGCGTCACGTCGGCGGCGGCGGCCTCGGCACGGGCATCAAGAGCTGAACGCCGACACTGGTGCAGAATCGGCCGACGCTGAACGATCTCGCGATTCCGGAGGTGCCGATCGTGCAGGGTTGAGCGTTTCACGCGGTGTCAAGAGTCAAGAGCAACAGCGCAGCTAGTCACGACAGAAACCCACCGTGCCCCCTCCTCCACAGAGTCGCTGCGGCGGCACGCTCAGGCGCTTCGAGGTCCTCCGCCTGCACTTCTCTCCCCCTGGTCCCCTCAACGAGCTCCACGAGCTGTTCGAGTTCGACGCTCTCCTCCGTGGAATAAACATACGGCGTGCGAGTCCCAGGTTCAGCAAACCGTGGATTCCATTCACGGGTTTACATTCATGCAGGCATACGCGCGTACGAGAGGGGCGGGGGTCGGGGCGCGGGGTTCCGGCGCCCCGGCGGCCCTTGCGGGCTTCTGAGAGCCCCAGCAGGCCGCGGCGCGCTTCCAGCAGGCCCAAGAGCGCTCTGAGACGACCCAGGGGACCCCCAAGAGCGGTCCACGAGGGCTTCCGAGACGGTCCCAAAGCGCTGGCAGACACCCTTGATAGCCCCCAGACGGCCCAATAGACTCCCAAAACGCTCTAAGTGGGCTCCAAGAAGAGTCCCAAGAGAGCCCGCACAAGCCAAAATAGTTTCAAACCCTAGGGGAAACGTACATTTTCACAATTCCCGTACTTTTCATTCACGCACCCAAGATCGCCCCAGGACGCATCAGAAGCGCCCCAAGACGGCCCCAGGACGGCCCAAGACGGCCCCAGGACAGCTCCTGAGGCGCCCACGACGGCCCAAGAGTCGCCCAAGGCAGCGCCAAGAGCGGCCAAAGACGGCCCAAAACAGACCCAAGATGGCCCCAAGCCGGCCCCAGAGGCGTTCAATACGGCCTCAGTCGGTCCCAAGACGGCCCAAGGGGGCACCCAAGACGGCCCAAGAAGGCCCCCAGAGGCCCACACGAGGCCGCAAGATAGTCCAAGGGGGCCCCAAAAGGCCCCCAGAAGGCTGAAAAGAAACCCCGAGAGGCCCCCAAGCGGCCCCCAAGGAGAAGGAAGCGCCCGTCACCAGTGGCCGCATAGGGAGCCTCGCCCTCCTCCGTGGTTGCGGGCGCCAGCGAAAGAGCGCCGAATGATGAACAGCAACATGCGCGCTTCTTCCCTTTTGCCTCCCAGCTCCAGGGCCCCCTTCGCCGCTGCCGCCAAAGTGAGGCGAGATACACCAGAGACCTCCAGGGAGCGCAGTCCCCAACACAGTCTGATCCCAGAGGGGAGCGGAGACGGCGCCCAAAAGTACGCGGCTCCCTGCGCGTCCACAGTGAGCCCCCATGCACAGTCCACCGTGCGACATTCCAAGTGCCCTGGGGCAGCATCGATCTCTTCCGTGGGCACGAAGCAGACAGCAGCAGCGGTGGCACACAGCAGCAGCAAGCAGCTGCAGGCAGCGGGTAGAAGTACGCACCAAGGCGGAACTGGCCATCAGCAACAACCTGCAGCCACAAGCAGCAAGCACACGCAGCAGCGGCCTCAAGCACTACCAACAGTACGCAAATGCGGCAGCAAGCAGCAGCACGCAGTAGCATGCGCGGAATGTGAGGTCGGGCCCAACAGTCAGATGCCAGTTCGTGCAGATTTCGTGGACGGAGTCCACGGGTCAGTCCTACCGACGTCGCCAGCTTCTTTCCGGTGCCCACAACCCACGACGACGACCACCACCACCACCACCACCACCACCACCACGAGAACGACACCGCCGACTGCGACGGGTACGATTGCGGCCTCGCGGCGGGGACGACAACGACGCCGACGATGACGGCGACGACGGCGGCCCCGCGACGGCCAAGCTGCTGGAGCGCTGCCAGAGCTCGGACACGAAGGCGCGGTCTCGCTGCCGCCGCCCCGGCCGCCACCGTGTCTATAGATTTTCGGCAGAATCTCCGCCGTTCCTCCAAGAACCGTTCCAGAAAGATGTCGTGGACGGAGTCCATTGGTCAGCCCTAGTCAGCTAAAGCGCTGGGATCAGCGCGTGAAAGAAGGGCGAGCAGTGGCAGCGGGCGCCTGCGCTGCTGAACGAGATGCGGGAAGTAAAGCTGGAACCCAACGACATCTGTCCTATATGGCCGGCGCAAGCCCTCAAGTGTGCGAAATCGGCATATCGGCGGGCCCTTGGCATGCCCCGGCGCGCCTCTGGGCGGCCAGCGCGCGCGTCAGAATGCCTCCAGGGAGCGCCGATGTGGGCCGAAGACGTCCCCGAGACGGTTTCGGGACTTTCAGACGTGCTTCCAGACGGCCTAGAGGCCTCCGAGCCCCTCGAAGAGACGTCCAAGAGGGCTCCCAGAAGCAAAAATCGCCCCAATCCTTAGCGAAAGCGTGCAATTTCAACGCATTCGCTTTCCTCAAGTTCACGGAGCCCACGACGTCCGTACAGGTCCCCAAGATCGCCCCGAGACGCCCCAAGAGGGCCTCCAGTGGGGCCCCAGGAAGCCAGTCTCAACGCATTCGGGTGCTTCATAGAGATTCGGGTGCTTCATAGCGATCCTCCTCCTGCTCCTGCTTCTCCTCCTCCTCCTCCTCCTCTTTCTCCTCCTCCTCCTCCTCCTCCTTCTCCTCTTCCTCCTCCTCCATCTCCTCCTCCTCTTCCTCCTCCTCCTCCTACCAGGCGGGGTAGGGGGGGCGGAAGTGAGAGGAATGAGGAGGGGGAGGGACGAGGGAAGCGGGAGGAGGTAGGATCGCGGAGGGAGGAGGTAGGATCGCGGAGGGAGGAGGAGGAGGAGGAGGAGGAGGAGGAGGAGGACGAGGAGGAGGAGGAGGAGGAGGAGGAGGAGGAGGAGGGAAGTAGATAGACGGGGACGGCGAGGAGGGAGGGAATTGGGAGGATGGAGGAGGGCGGGAGGGACAGGAGGGAGGGAGGGAGGGAGGGATGGAGCGAGGGAGGGGGGGAGCGAGGGAGGAGGAGCAGGAGGAGGGAGTAGGAGGGGCAGGAGCAGGAGGAGGAGGCGGAGGAGGAGGCAAGGGAGAGGGAAACAGGGTTGGAGGAAGAGGAGGAGGATGAGGAGGAGGAGAGGAGGATGATGATGCGGAGGAGGAGTCCTGCTACTGCTGCTGCTGCTGCTGCTGCTTCTCCTCTTTCTCCTCCTCCTCCTGCTCTTTGCTCCTGCTCCTGCTGCGCTTCCTCTTCATCCTCCTGCCCCCCTGCTCCTCCCCCTCCTCCTCCGCCTCTTCCTCCTGCTCCTCATCCCTCCTCCTCGTCCTCGTCCTCCTCCCTCCTCCTCCTCGTATTCCTCCGGCTTCTCCTGCTCCTGATGCTGCTCATCCTGCTCCTTCTCCTGGTCCCGATCCTGCTCCTGTTGCTGCTGCTCGCATGCCCTGCTCACGTCTGTTGGAGGTTTCGTGCGTCGGGAGGTTTGGGGTATTGGGGAGCTGGTGCTTGGAAAACTCGTGCGTCGACCCCTCATGCTGGGGCTCTAGTCCCTCGTGCGTTGACCACTCGTACTAAGGCTTCGGCCCCTCTTACCTCATGCGTTGACCTCTCATGTCATGCTGGGAGTTTGACCCCTGATGCGTCGACCTATCATGCTGGGGCTTTGGCGCCTCATGCGTCGACCCCTCATGCTGGGGCTCTGGCCCCTCTTACCTCATGCGTTGGCCCCTCATGCTGGGGTTCGTACCCCTCATGCGTTGACCCCTCATGCTGGGACTTTGGCCCTTCATGCGTGGACCCCTCATGCTGAGGCTTCGGCCCCTACTACCCCGTGCCTTGACCCCTCGTGCTGGGGGTTATACCCCTCATGGGTTGACCCCTCATGCTGGGGCTTGTACACTTTGGTTCCGCTTACCTCATGGGTTGACCCCTCATGCTGGAGCTTGCACCCATCATGCGTCGACCCGTCATGCTGGGGCTTTGTCGCCTCCTGAGTCGACCCCTCGTGCTTGGGCTTTGGACCCTCTTGCCTCATGCGTTGACCCCTCATGCTGGGGTTTGTACCCCTCATGTGTCGAACCCTCATGCTGGGGCTTTGGCCCCTCATGCGTTGACCCCTCATGCTGGCGCCTGTGTCCCGCTTAGCTCATGCGCTGACCCTCATGATGGGGCTTGTCCCCCTCATGCGTCGACCCCTCATGCTGGGGCGTTTGCCCCTCATGGGTTGACCCCTCATGCTGGCGCCTTGTTCCCGCTTAGCTCATGCGTTGACCCTCATGCTGGGGCTTGTACCCCTCATGCGTTGACCCCTCATGCTGGGGCTTTGGCCCCTCATGCGTCGACCCCTCATGCTGGCGCCTTGGTCCCGCTCAGCTCATGGGTTGACCCCTCATGCTAGGTGCGTCCATGACGTGGCGACGCGGAGGGCGCCTCGAAGGCCAGAGAGCCTCGATCCTCGGCCCTCGATGCTCGATCCTCGAGGCTCGAGGCTCCTCAAACAGGGCCCCTGGACCCCTCCCGAGGTCCAAACGCACGAGTTGTTCGAGCTGCGTCCATGCCGTGGCGACGAGGAGGGCCCCGAAGGAGCAATAGGAAGCCCCCAAAACGGCCTCAAGAGAACCGTAACGGGTGACCCGCGCGCGTCGCCCGTTACAACGCGTTTCTTCCGAAGACGTCGTCGTCGTCGTCGTCGTCGTCGTCGTCGTCGTCGTCGTCGTCGTCGTCGTCGTCGTCGTCGTCGTCGTCGTCGTCGTCGTCGTCGTCGTCGTCGTCGGTCGTCGTCGTCGTCGTCGTCGTCGTCGTCGTCGTCGTCGTCGTCGTCGTCGGTCGTCGAGGGTCGATCCTCGAGGCTAGATCCTCGAACCTGGATCCTCGAGGCTTGATCCTCGAGGCTGGATCCTCGATCCTCGAGGCTCGATCCTCGAGGTTCGAACCAAGGCCAGATAGCCTCGAACCTGGATCCTCGAGGCTCGATCCTCGAGGCTAGAGGCTCCTCAAGACGGGCCCCAGGACCCCTCCCGGGATCCAAACGCACCAGTTGTTCGAGGTGCGTCCATGCCGTGGCGACGCGGAGGGCGCCTCGAAGGCCAGAGAGCCTCGAACCTCGATCCTCGAACCTCGGCCCTCGATGCTCGATCCTCGAGGCTCGAGGCTCCTCAAACAGGGCCCCTGGACCCCTCCCGAGGTCCAAACGCACGAGTTGTTCGAGCTGCGTCCATGCCGTGGCGACGAGGAGGGCCCCGAAGGAGCAATAGGAGGCCCCCAAAACGGCCTCAAGAGAACCGTAACGGGTGACCCGCGCGCGTCGCCCGTTACAACGCGTTTCTTCCGAAGACGCCTCGGTCGTCGTCGTCGTCGTCGTCGTCGTCGGTCGTCGTCGTCGTCGTCGTCGTCGTCGTCGTCGTCGTCGTCGTCGTCGTCGTCGTCGTCGTCGTCGTCGGTCGTCGAGGGTCGATCCTCGAGGCTAGATCCTCGAACCTGGATCCTCGAGGCTCGATCCTCGAGGCTGGGTCCTCGATCCTCGAGGCTCGATCCTCGAGCCAGAGAGCCTCGAACCAAGGCCAGAGGGCAAGTTGGGCCAAGATGCCCGAGCACGCCGGCAACCCAGGGTTGCAGGGGTGCTCGGGCCATCCTGGGCGACCCGACATCTCCGCGAGGGAGGCCCGAGCACCCCGGCAACCCAGGGTTGCAGGTGTGCGCGAGCATGTTGGGCCAAGATGCCCGCGCACACCTGCAACCCAGGGTTGCAGGGGTGCTCGGGCCATCCTGGGCGACCCGACATCTCCGCCCACCGCGTCTTCGGGATCGCGAGGGAGGCCCGAGCACCCCGGCAACCCAGGGTTGCAGGTGTGCGCGGGCATGTTGGGCCAAGATGCCCGCGCACACCTGCAACCCAGGGTTGCAGGGGTGCGCGGGCATGTTGGGCCGACATGCCTGGACATCCCGGCAAATCCGATGGCCAGGCAGGCCCAGCACCCCGGCAAACCGGGGTTGCAGGGAAGGCCTCCCTCGGCGAGGGCCCGGCCCCCCTTCCCGGCAAATCCCGGGGCGGGCCCTCCCGGGCTTCCCGGCAACCCGGGGTTGCAGGGAAGGCCTCCCTCAGGAGGGCCCGGCCCCCCTGAGCTCCCGGCAAATCCCGGGGCGGGCGATATCCCGAGCATGCCGGCAACCCGGGGTTGCAGGGAAGGCCTCCCTCGGGAGGCTTCCCGGCAAATCCCGGGGCGGGCCCCCCCTGAGCTTCCCGGCAACCCGGGGTTGCAGGGACTGCAGGGCCCGGCCCAGCTGGGCTTCCCGGCAAATCCCGGGGCGGGCCCCCCCGGGCTTCCCGGCAAATCCTAGCCTAGGCGGGCCCCCCCGGGCTTCCCGGCAAATCCTGGGGCGGGGCCCCCCGGGCTTCCCGGCAAATCCCGGGGCGGGCCCCCCCAGGCTCCCCAGCAAATCCTGGGGCGGGCCCCCCCGGGCTTCCCGGCAAATCCTGGGGCGGCCCCCGGGCTGGGCTTCCCGGCAAATCGGGGCGGGCCTCCCCTGAGATCCCGGCAAATCCCGGGGCGGGCCCCCCCGGGTTTCCCGGCAAATCCCGGGGCGGGCACCCCCTGAGCTTCCCGGCAAATCCCGAGGGAAATACGAGGAGGAGGAGGAGGAGGAGGAGGAGGAGGAGGAGGAGGAGGAGGAGGAGGAGGAGGAGAGGAGGAGGAGGAAGAGAAAAAAGGCGATGGGGAGCAGCAGCAGCAGCAGGAGGAGATGGAGAGGGAAGGGGCAGGATCAGAAGCAGGAGGAAGAGGAGCAGGAGCAGGAGGAGGAGGAGGAGGATCGGTGCCACGGCGGCGACGACGACGACGACGACGACGACGACGAGGGGGCGAAGCTCCAGCATGAGGGATCAACGCATGGGGGGTAAAACCCCAGCATGAGGGGTCGACGCATGAGGGGCCAAAGCCCCAGCATGAGGGGTCAACGCATGAGGGGGACAAGCCCCAGCAAGAGGGGTCAACGCACCAGGTAAGAGGGGCCGAAGCCCCAGCATGAGGGGTCGACGCATGAGGGGTCAAAGTCCCAGCATGAGTGGTCAACGCATGAGGGGTACAAGCCCCAGCGTGAGGGGTCAACCCATGAGCTGAGCGGGACCAAGGCGCCAGCATGAGGGGTCGACGCATGAGGGGCAAA